AAAGGAGGAAATAAAACCTGTACAGGTGCATAAAATCCCACATAGACGATGCTGCTTTATGAATGGGTGCTCTGCTGTGTGAGCTCAACACTCCGCCAGCATCAGCACTGGCATCGCCTCCAGTGGGAAGGGACGAGCCTGGGTCTGATCCCGGCACACCCGCTGTGCAAAAAGGGCTTCACAGCCTCCTACGAGCACTCATGGCAAACCAGCAAAGCCTACTTTCCCCTTGGGTTTATCACAATGTGACTCTGGGTAGACACAGTTCATCTGAAGCATCTCCTTCCCATTTACAACAGGAGAGGTACCCACAGCTCCAATGCTCCAAAACTGGTGATAACTCTTACCCACACTTTATCTTGCTTAATCCTTAAACTCAAGCTCTGCTGAGATGGGCTAGCTTTGCATCCAGCACCCAACTGCACCCCACACCAGACTGGGACCTTGTACCCGGCTCCACAACTGACTTATGGTGTAAATCTCCATGCCTCACTTTGCCCAAGTGTAAAATAACTGTAGGGCTCACACAGGGGCTTGTGAGGCTCATCTCTGGTCCCAAAAAGCCAGTGGGGATCCTTCAGCAATGGGGTCTAGCACAGGTGGAATGTCCTGTCACCACTGGGGTGGAGTGTCACCACCACACACATCCCAGGTGGGTGACCAGGAGACCCATGGGCAGAGGATGCCAGCCTGCCTGTTGGGAGGGAAACTCACCTCCACTACTCACTCCTCTGCTCCCAGCTGACTGCCAGCAGCTTTTATCACCATGCTGGAGCCCTTCAAGCTTTGGGCAATTCTCAGACATGTTACCATACAAAATAAAACCCTTTTCAGTAGCAATGAGCCAGAAATGATCATGGAGAGGAAACAGCTCATCTCCTGCACTGCCTAATGACCCTGGCACACAGGTGGCCCCCAGCAGCACTCATGTCTCCCGGGACACCAAGCCAAGAGATGCTGCACCTCTTCCCCCACCGCTTTCCTCACAACTGCACCGTGATTTGTGCTAACCTAGAAAGGACCCTTGAGTTTAAGGTGGCTCTTAGTGGAGGCATTTTGAGACAGCTGCTTTCTGGGGAAAGCATTCCTTAAAATACAGCTCTTTCCTTCTGCCTCACCCCCAGCTTTTGACATTTTAGAGGCTCCAGTAAAACAAGACGTTTCAAAAATCTAATTTTCAGCTTCGGAGGCACAAAACCTCGAGGCAGGGTGCGGGCAGGGAGAGCTGGTTTCCAAGCGCCCAGGCGGGAGATGAAAAGAGCAGCAGCGGCTGCGTGAACGGCAGCACCTTTGGAGAACAAGATCCACCTCTGGAGCAGGAAGCAATTCCCACACACTCTGCAGCACAATCCGCTGGCTGGTGATGGCTCAGCCCAGGAACCAAACCCCTGGGCTTCAGGATGATGGGCTGGGTATTATTTTGCAGGCAGTGCTTGCCTGCTCGCCAGTTCCTGGGGCTCTAGTGGCTTCTCCCCCCTGCTGCCTCCCTCTAGGAATTTCACATGGAAGTGGCTGTCAGAATTGACATTAGGACTGGATTACCATAGGAATCCCTCTCTAAGGGCAGGGTGCTGTGTCACACCTCTGAGATGGGGGGACAGCAAAGTGCTGCCCCGACAGTGAGGAAGAGAAGCAACTGCTGGGCTCAACATTTCCAGTCTACAGAAAACATCACTGCTGGGATTTTTTTCAGCAGGTTAAAGGAATTTGGACAGTCCATATCTCACACAGAGAGGATCTGCTGGGTTTATGTGAATTTTTTTTTGTTTCGAATAGGGAAAACGGAAAGTTAGGAAGCAAAGGGGGAAAGTGATGCTGAGGCCATGGGGCAGCAGCCACAGGGTGGGAGCAAAAGCAGCAGCTCAGGGGGAACCAGAGAGGTACCTGCTCATCCATCACCTGGGATAGAGACTGGGGTGAATTAAAGCAATTAAACTAGGGAGGTAAATGGAGTTGTAAGGTTTTTTAAGGCTGCTCTCTTTAGGCAGATGAAATACAGTCATCTCTTGTGAAAAAACACTTGACATTTCTCCAACGCAGGGCAAGCTGCAAGAGGGAGTTGTCTAACCCTGGAGATAGGAAAACAGCTGCAGTCTGCACCGTCCCTGGCAGTTCAACGCTGCCCTCTCCACCTCCAACTCTCACAGCGTGACCCAAGTGGGAAAACACTGAGGGCAGGGATGCTTTTGGAGGGAGAGCTGCTTGGCAGAAGCATACTGTCCCCACTGTGCCTTCTGGTGTGGCACAGCAGCATGTGCAGAGATGCTGTCCTGACCAAAACAAATCTGGCAATGTCACTGCCTGTCCCCCTGGGATGTGCATCATGGCCACAAACCAGGTGCAGCTATTAATGCTGCTGTAAAATGAGCTCTTCGTTCCACTCACATCACACCAGTGAAGGCAAAATATCCCAAACAGGCTTCAGTCTGAGGAAAAAGTCCTTCAGGATTGATTGATGTCCTGCCAGCAAAGAGAGATGGTTCAGGCAGATGGGACGTGGTGCAGGACAGACGGACAGAGCAACAAGAGAGGAAAGAACTCCAAGGAAGCTAAGGCTTTGGGTAAGCAGCACAACCCCAGAGCATCCCTGGAGCAGCCTGGGATGAGCAGGGAATGGAAAACCTGAGGGGCTGCAGAAATCCACCTGGGATTAGCTGGGAGTGATCAGAAATCCACCTGGGATTAGCTGGGAGTGATGGAGCCAGCAATGAGTATCTCTAAAAGGTCACAGAGAATGGGTCAGATCTGAGAACCATAGAATGGCTTGGGTTGGAAAGGACCTTAAAGATCATCCAGTTCCATCCCCTGCCACGGGCAGGGACACCTTCCACTAGCCCAGGTTGCTCCAAGCCCTGTCCAACCTGGCCTTGGACACTTCCAGGGATGGGGCAGCCACAGCTTCTCTGAGCAACTATGTCAGTGCCTCACCACCCTCACAGGGAAGAATTTCTTTCTAATATCCACGATACACATTATCAGACTTCAAAAATAAAACAAACTCTTTGGAGAGAAAGGCTTGAACGCCAAATGGTATTGAGGAACTGAAGAAAGAGCTGGAACCATGGCAGGAGGCAATGCATCAAGGATTATGGAATCGTGCCGAGATTGAGAATAATCACATAAGCAAAATTACCCCAAGAACTGGGAAATTCTTCAGAGGAGAATCCGATGGTGGAAGTGAAACCTCACACTCAAGGTGAGTGGGCTGTCCCCTCCTGAAGCCGTGGGCATGTCCCTGTGGTGGTGGTGGTGTGGGTGAAAGCAGGGGAAGCCTCAAGACTGACAAACACGTTCACAACTCCAGAAAACACAACCTTTGATGGTAACTTAAAATAAATGGATCTGCTTTGTCTTGAGGAGAGGACTGAGAGAAGACACAAGAGTGGCCTAAAAAATGTGAAAGATATCAGGAAAGGGCTGGTGCCAGAGCGAGACAGAGTGGGATGGGGACATGGGAGGGATGACCTGCACCAGGACTAACTCTAGGAATATCCATGCATGGGAACACATGGCAGTGGCAGAGCTGCCCCAGGACCCCCAAAATCAAGAGCTTAGAGACAAGCAGAAGGGCACATTTTCAGCCTGCCCTGTGCCCTGGCAGCTCCTGGCTGCCAGGTCTGGGATGCCAAACCCCACCCCACAGGCAGCCACTGCCAGGCTGGATCTAAATGGGCACTGCCAGCCCGGACAGCACCAAGATCACTTTTCAGCTGGAAACAGCCCCGGCACGAGCCCTCAGCTGGGGAGCAGAGCACTGGCAAAGCCAGGCTGTGGTTAGCTATCAAAGACAACTAAAAAAAGATATTACACACACACAGGTTTCCCCCCCCCAGCTTTTTTTTTTTTCGGTTTGGGGTTGGTGTTTTTTTTTTTTTTCCCAAGGATTAAATCAACTCAACAGCCCCCTTTACAACTTCCCTTTTGATGTGTTCAGACTCATTAAAGTTTCATTTCTTTCTCTGTCTTCCCGGGGGAGGAAGGGGAGCATACACAAAAGTTTACTTCAGGAGCGGGGTCGGCAGCTGCAGCAGCAGCTGCTGTTGCTGTGGGACAAGCGGAGCCTCCGCCGGCCTCTGCTCCCTGCCGGGATCCCTGGGCAAAACACACCCCCCCTGCAGCCTCCCTGCTCCCACGAGCAACCCCAGCAGCACCCGGGCACGATGCTCCACCAGTGTCCCTGCAGGATGCACACCCGCTGTCACACGTCACGAAGGGAACACATGAGAGCTCCAAAGCTCCTGCAAACCCTGCGGGGAGTTTCGGGTCTGACCCCGAGAGTTTTGGGGTCCCTTCCCAACCTGCCCGGTTCACCCCAGCAGCAGCACCAGCCTTTCCCCCACAGCTTTGGCCACTGCCCTGGGACAATCCCACACACATATCGAGCGGGTGGCAGCTCCCCCACGTTTCTTTTTTGCCTGAGCAGCTGTTTAAGTGTCTATTTTAAAACCCAGTTCCCTATTTTAAAATAGCTAATGAGCCCCCGATCTCGGCTGACAGACGTCGTCTCTACAAGGTCTGGGAGATGCTTCTCTATTCGCTGGGCTCCTTTTCCCAAGCCCTGAATCTCAGCATGCCCAGCACGTTCCCAATCCACACAAACATAGTAAAGAGGGAAGTTTTTAATTTAAGGGCCAACTCCTGCTCCCCTGCCGTGAAATACCAGCGGTACAGCCACGTGTTTCTAGGCAAAGAGGCATCAGCCAGCCAGGCAGAGGCTGGAGTTCTGGGTGGTTTTCTGCTGGTACTTTTTTATTCTCTCTTTGATTTTATCACATCTTTTTTAAAATTCCCCGATCAAGAGGAAGCAGGGAGTTGGCCCGCCTGGCCACTGCCCAAAAAAAGCCAGGCACACAAGAGGGACTTTTCAGGGTGTGGTGGGAGGTCCCTGTGAATCCCTGTGCAAGCCCAGGTTCCCATGCATCACCTCTGCATGCCCCCCGAGATGGTGTGCACCCCACCAAGGCAGAGGGGACCCCGCAGAGGGGACAGCGCTCACTCACCTGACCACAGGCTCAGGGATGGCCTCGGCACTCGCTGGCACCTGGACACCCTTCTCCCACTCCTGCCTCCAAGGATCAGCCAGGACGTAGTACTCGTCAGGGCTCAGCTGGAAGGAGTCAGGGATCTTCATGGCTGTTATCAGGTCCGTACGGAAAACCTGCACCGGAGAAAAACCCATCCTGAGTGAAGGGGTCTGGCAGGGGCTGGGGGCACGTGTGTCCTGGGGAAATGTCCTGGGGGTTTGCATCAGCAGTGGTATGGCTTCAGGGTGTCATTTTGTGTCACTTCAGGGTGAGGTCTGGGCAGGAGAACACCGGCACACAGGCAGGGACTCCCCTCCAGCCAGGCAGTGCTGAGAGCCCAAGCCCTGCAGCCACAACCCTTCCGAGGTCCCACGAACTGGGCAGTCAGGAAATCCAGCCACTAGGTGTGAGTTCCCATGAGACATTAACTTGGATTAATCCTAGTTTTTAATCCAAAAACTAGGATTAAACTAAAGAAACAGGCTGCCTTCTCTTAGGGGATTGATGGTTTCAATGTAGCCACACAAATATCTGCCCAAATGCCAAGGGATGTCCTGCAACTGGGCTTCTCTGCACTTAGCCCTCCTGGGAGAAGGGAAATTATGTTCTTGACATGAATGAAGCTGTGGGAGACAAAGAGCACATCATCCCAAGCACCTTCATGTCCCCATCACATCACTTCATGACCCTGAGCATTTTTGTGTCCTCTTCATGTCACCTCATTGTCCATCGTGGTTACCTCATCACCTTGAGAACCTTCATGTCCCTGTCATGTTACCTCACTGCCCCAAGCACCTCTGTGTGCCCATCATGGCCCCTCATCACCCTGAGCAGGGACAATCAAAAGCTAAAGGTGAAAAATAACTGGCTAAAAGGTAATCTAGGTGCTGCTCACACATCCACAGCCAAACACACCGAGATGTGTCCTGACCCAAAAAAACCCTTGTCAGATCAACACTGGACCCCTCCTTTAGGAAAATCATCCAGTCCTACAGTCAGTGAATGGGCTCATTTTCCATCTCACTGCTGGCCCTGCAGCATCTTCTCCCAATACACTAGGATGAAAAACTCATTCCAAAAATATCCCTCACGGTAAATAAGGTTTTCCTTCCAGAGGGTTGCCTGACAGCAATGACTCGAGCAATCCTGCCTCTTGCAGCATAAAAATAAATTGTAAATGAAAATGGATGATTTCTCCTCTCTACCATCTGCTATTAGCTGGAATAATAACTGCCAGTGCCAGCAATCCTGCCTGGACACCATCTCGCTCCATCCACTCCATCCCTGCTACTTCTGCATTCCTTCCACGAGGCCAGGATGGATCAGATGTTTTCTTCAGATGTTGTTTAATCTCTTCACAGAGTCTATTCTCCAAATGAGTATTGCTGTGTCAGAACCACAAGAAATAATACAATATAGTTCCACATTTTTGATACAAAAATAACACGCTTTGGACAGTATTGGGGAACCCAAATCGGCTGAGATGCACAAAACTAGACATTAACTAAGACCACTGAGACCAGTATTTAGGTCAGTTTGTTTAATCCTCAGAGTCTCAGCTGCTAACCCAATTAGAATTAAATACAATATATAAACAACCTTTGCTATGTTGGGACCTCTGAATTTTCCTGGTGCTTTCCTCCTGATGCAGCTGCTTGGAGACATTTTTGACCATGCCTATATAAACCCGATTTGAATTGGTCAGACAGTCTCAGTGCATCCTTCAACAAACATAATTAACAGCCTATATACTACAGGCAGAATTAGGCTCAGTTTGGGAAAGATCATGGTCCTTTAAGTCTCTGTGTGCTACAAAAGCATCATTAGAGATACTACAGTAACCTCTTAATACACTGCCAGTGTGAGAGATTTAAAAAAAAAATTAAAATAGGCATTAATTAAACATGAGAAGGGATATGGGAGATATCACAGTCCTTCCAGTGCTGTGTCTGAGTATCCAAACAAGCACAGGAATCCTGCTGAAGCTCATTTTCTACAAGACAGGGAGAAATACACCCTGTTCTTGCCAGCCCTACACTGACAGGTCACAGCTTGGGCAAACACCACCTCATAACCCAGTTTTGGTGCCCAGTTCCAATGAGGACAATGCAAACCCCAGTTAGTGTCGCTTCCTTGGAGCACTTGGCTTTGGTGGATGAGATGCTCCCCTGTGCCCTAACCACACAGGCTGAGGGCAGCATGGGGACCAGTGCTACCTCCCTGCCCTGGCCACCAGCACCACAGAACCACTGAACCACAGAATCACTCAGGTTGGAAAAGCTCTCTGAGATCATCGAGTCCAACCATTAACCCGGCACTGCCAAGGCCACCACTAACCCATGTCCCCAAGTGCCACATCTACACGTGTTTTGAATACCTCCAGGGGTGAGGATTCCACCACAGCCCTGGGTTTAACCACCCTTCCAGTGAAGAAAGTTTTCTTAATCTCCAGCCTAAACTTCCCCTGGCACCAGCACAATGGTGTCACGGAAAACACCATTCTGGAGACACGTGCCCTGGGGATTTGTGGGCAAAGCCAGGTAGGAATGGTTTCCAAAGGTGTGGGGCACCCAACAGCTCTTCTAAACCAAAAACCTGGTCCATCACCCTCCTCCTACTGATGAAGAGGGAGATGGAGAAGTCTGCAACATGTCATGCAACCAACCCGGGGAGGAGCTGACAGCACCACTGGGGAGCCCCGGCCACCCCCAGGGCTGCCATCCATGGGTAGGCAACACAACAGCTCCATACAAACCTCGTGTCACAAGCTTAACTCATTTTCCTTTGCTTACAGCTATCAGGAAACTACTTCAGTGCTCTCAGCTCTTTGCTGGGGTCATGTCTCCAGCAGTCCAAGTGCCCTGGGGCAGCCTTCTGCTGCTCACCACTGCTCTGAACAAGGCTCAGCCTTACCAATGCTTCCCAACACACACAGCAAACACAAAACCCTCCAGAACCTCAGAGCCTGGGCACTGGAAAACGCAACAATGGGACCAGCCCTCGGTATAATTCCTCCCCTCTGCACGGTGCAGAACCCAGGCTCCTGTTTTCCCGCATTAAGTCTTCCCCAAATTCATCCCTTCTGGCTTCTCAGCTCGCGTCGGCACAGGCAGCTTAGTTTTAATTTTAAGCCAAATAAGCACGATTGTATCTATCTCCCTGAAGATAAGGAGCATCGCGGGCTGGATTTGCAATCTCACTACTTCATTTATTTAGTCCTTCTTGGAAAACAGATAAGCTCGCCCCTCCGACGGCAGCACGCGCGCCCGCACTTTATCACAGCGACGCCTCTGTCTTTTCATGAAGAACTGGATATGCTCAAATTATTAACTATCAAAGCAGAACACTTTAGAAATGATAGAACAGCGCAGAAATTGTAAAGGAAAGCAGATCAGTTGTCTGGAAATCTCCCAACAGCTAATACGCTCAAATTGTAATCTAAATGTCTTTTTGTTTTGAATTGTCTGGGATTAGGGTTGGGAAAAGACTCAATTATTCTACTCAAACTCTTCTGAATTATTTATGAAAACCAAATAAAGGATAAATTGGGCACTGATGAACCGAGGACCTGGCGGTGAAGAAAAAGTTGGGTACCAGAAAACAAGCAATTTTCCCTCAATAGGAGTGTTTACTGTTTCTCCCCCGGTCGTGGGAGATGAATTGTCTGCTGCCCTGCACCCTGCTCCCCCTGCCACCACCACAGCCCTGGCCAGGCTCTGTCCTCCCCTTCCAGCCTGGCAGCAGGATCCAGGTTATTGCCTATCGATCTGCCAGCAGTGGGAAAGGCCAAACCAAGATGTTCCTTTATTGCCTCTGCTTGCTCAGAGATCTCAGGCACGTTTAGGGATGCTCAGAGATGCATCACACTGATGCCCAGGGCCAGCCTCCCCTTTTGCTAGTGTCAGCTTTAGAGATGAGGAAAAAGAACATTAAATTGCAAAATCCCAAGATATTTTTGCCTTCATATTGCCAAATGAGAGGGACACGGAGTCAGGGTCAGCGTAGTTGTGCAGTCTCAGATCCCAGGCAAAAAAAAGCACATGGAGAAAACTTCCCTCTCCCTCATATCTCACAGGCCAGGCATCTGGATTACCCATCTTTGCTACTTCCCCAACTTTTCAGCCCAGCAGTTCATGGTGTTGGACTGCCTGCCTCACTAGTAGAGCCAGTCCCAGCAACCTGGGAAGGTGAGAAGTCACTGGGACACCAAAGCCATCACATTCCCAAATGATACATCAGTGTCACTTGTTATTTCTGTAATTTGCTGTTCTGAGGCAAAAGCTATATTGATTTTATCTCTCAAAAAGAAAAAGAGCTAATAAAATGTAACACATCCTCTGATTTTGACAGCCTATTGCTTCACCTGGATCCAGCCTGGCACTGGAAGGATGACACTGTGGGTATGGCACAGACCTGCAAGGCAGAGGTTGGATTTGGCTCCTCCTTGAGCCCCCAGTGCCTCGTCCTTCAGCTGCTCCACCTTGGCGAGGATCTGCTGCTTCTCCCACCAGACACAGCCCTGCAGCCTCTCCCTGTGCCCTGCAACAGCTGTGAGGCACCTCCAGGAGCCCTCCATGGACCAGCAGCAATTTGTCCAACACTTGAACAACCTCAGAGAAAAACACTTACTCCTGGGAGGAGATGCCCAGGCACACGGTGCCTTGCCATGACAGGAAGGATGATGGGCACTGGAAACTCCATCCCTCTCTTAGCAAAGGGCTCCCAGGCTGTGCCGCTTTCCAGCATCCTTCTCCTCCTCCTCTGCCTCTCCCCCATCACCATCCAGCCCCTCTCAGAGCCTCTCCACCACCTTTCCGTGCAATCCTTGCATCGATTTCCAGGCTCTTTGATTCATTCACACACCCCTCTTAGCGAAGTGGCTGACAATCTCCCCATCATTCAGCTCCCACTCCACGTGCTCTGTCAAGGGCTCAGCTTTTCCAGCGACTGTTCTGTAGGTCCGAGCCTGCCAATTATCCCCTTAGCCCCAAATACCCACCCAAAACCACCAAATTCGGATCCCGTGGTAACAACGTTCCGCTCGTACGAAACCGGCTGCTGGGAGGGAGCCAAAAAGACGGAGCTGTTTTGGGCTTTAAATCGAAACGAAAGGAAACACTCGTCTAGCACTGGG